TGCTTGTGTGATTGCATTGATACCAGCGTATATCTGTGCCTAATGGCACGGCGAGTCCGGCCTCTTGAACTCCCAGTCTCTCTGCCTTTCACTCCCTGCAACATTTCATTGGCAGTATCCGGTGTAGTGCAGGGTGCTCATTCCCCTGGATGGGGTTCTGCAAAACGGTGCAATTTAAGCAGCTTTTTCACAGTTTTCATGAGTGAGATAAGTCTGAATGTGACACAGCATTAACACTGGTGAAGAATAGATGTTACTCGACCTCAACTAGCTCCATTGCTGTCCTTTTAGTTTAGACTGAATATAAGTTAGCAGATAGCAGATATTTGGGCTAGAAATAAACAGTTGCCGTGGTGTCAGGTTCTTATCTCAGCACTTCCTCAAGATGGCCTCTGGCCAGCACTCTGAGACGTATAACAGCGTTCATTCTCATTCCTCTCATTTGAAATGTGAAAATGTATAATTTCAACAATGTAAAACAGGATGATTCCAAGTTTTGGAGAAAATCACATCTTACTTGCTTAGTTTTTAAAACTCATGGTTGCTACTTCAGCTTTTGAAATACTGAGTTTAGTATCCTTCTCCTTTGCCACCACTCACTCTAATAATGATCTCTTACTTCTGTAGGTCACTAAAACTTAAACTTGTAGAAGGAGCTTTCTCATCTTGTAGCATGTTGACAAAATAAACATGGCTGTGAGCAGCAAGCAAGCTAGCTTTTAAACTAGGAGCACCAAAGTGACTGTGATGCTTCTGGGACCCGTATTTTTAGTGTGGCTTGGCTATACCATAAAGACACATGGGGTTTGCTCAGAGCCTACCCTGCACAATACCTCATTGTTTGGACTGCCCATGGCTTAGGTGCTTCTGTGGGCAAACATTTCACAACATATAAAGTATTTTTGAGCTGTGGCTTGTGGGGCTGCCATTGTCTTCTTTTGCTCAATCAAAAATGTATCATGGGAATCCTGTACTAGGAGGCAGTAAGCACATTGCAACTGAATGAAGGCACTGAAATCCTGGAGAGCATAAAAGCAACTGGATCCACTATAGATCCACTATAGAACTTGCATTAAATGCAAGTTTA